GGCGATCCGTAGCCGCAGTCGGGCTCCTGTTTGACACGAATGGGATATATGGGGAGCGGAGATGACTGTGACTGAAGTGGTGTTGAGTGTTGTTTGGCGGACATGTAGTCCATGTCGTCGACGATCTCGCGTTTGATGTGTGCCAACCAAAGCGGACTATTCGTGTCCATAGCGTCCATATAATAGCCGTTCATTTGGTGATTGACTGGCGTTTGCATTGCGTTGGGATTCATATTGATATCGATTTGAACGTTGTTTTCATACAAATTGCAAACAAATGGCATTTAGTGGAGAAATACTCAATACTATAATAGTGTAGATTTGCTGTAATTATATGGATATTGAATACAACAACACAACGACTGCACACAACGATGACTGACTCTCTATCCCTACTTCACACACAATATCATTACAAACACTACACATACCTGTACTGCCTGTCCAACCAATGGGAGCACAGACTGCACACTACACTCCACGCCCACCCCTACCGACTCTATCACTGAATTACGTCAAGCAATGTGCGGACCCTTTATCTCAGGTCTGTATAGCGTTTTGCACACAAAATCCAATGTAAATGCACTGCAAAAGCGCTCTTATAATCAACAGGTGTTTAGGAAACCTATTGGCTCTCAAAAACACATCACTCTCTCAATCGTTGCAGTAATTAATTAATTGTAAAACTTTATTATTTTTTCGTCTAAATCCATATCGCATTCACTGCTTAAACAGATAGTTGTTATCAATTATACGATTGTTTTATTTGACATTTAATAAAGACTTAAAATATAGATTTGTATCTCAATTGACGTTCACTGAAATCCCAAACCAAAGTGTTATTTATGGACAGAACCCGAAGTCTACGTGACTTTTAAATGTCAATGCATTGAATTGAACGCCGATTTTGTTGCTATGCTTTGCCTTTCAATACATTTAAATGCATTGAGATTTACAATTAATTAATTGTTTTCATTTAATTAACGCATCAATCGCTGCCATCAAACACATCAAACCCTTGCCATTCAGTTGTCATTTGATTGATTGCATTATTGTTGTTGTCATTTCATTGTGTGACACCTTTTGTGTCAAAACATATACAAAACAGTAATAATATTTGCATTTTATTTATATTTATTAATTGAGATCTTAATTGTAAATAAATTTAATTGAAACATACAATCAATGGTTGAAAAGCGGTTTATTTGCAACCGATTGCTAATAAAGAGAGAAATCGATGCATACATTGACTCACAATTAAGTAAACAATTAATTTTTAGCCATAATTTATATATCGTTTTGATTAACATTGAGTTTGATTTGTAATTTAATGAACAGATTAATGAGTGGATTAAGCGTTAAATAGCGATACAAACAGTTTGTGGTAATAGTAATGACAATGAGTGAGAATACAAGCGAAAGGCGTTCACAAAACTCTTTCGCGAAATACTTATTATATTTCGTAAACTTAAGTGTGAAAGACGTGGACATCGTTTGGATCGACTTCGGAGGCTGTGAACAGAAATACATTACTTTAAAACACAAACAGATGTTTAAAATCCACACATTTCTCACTCATCCGTGGATTTTCAGAGAGAGTCAAACCAAACGTAGGCTTTGTTTTCAAACGAAACCTAAGGTCTGCTCCGAAGACATTGTCAACCAATTGGTGTTCAGTAGCGATGAAATGCCCGAAAATGGGGTTCAAGTGATCTATATATCCGACGGCTTTCATACACTCAAAGAGAGATGCTTTCAATTAATGCACGAAAAAAGTGAACACCAATTGATTGAATGCAACGCCGAAGACATTCCCCGATCACTGATCCAAGAATACCAGCGATTTGTTCATCTGTTTTATAATGTTTTTCAATGACATGAATCTCAATATTATATACAATAATTAGTTTATTATCTAATCATTAAGTTTTTAATCTATATTCAAACAAATACTATATTTTTATACCAATAATAATAAGTTGTAATGTTTTCTAATCATATTTTAAAATGTATTGAAAATTTCAATTTGAAATTAATATTAAAAATACTGTAAATTATTATAAAATTGAAATGTTTTATTTAAAATGAATTATCAGTTTTGGATTAGTATTAAAAAGACAAATGTAGTGATAATTTAGCGGTAATTCAGCCAAAGCTGCTTCTGTTAAGAGAGTCGTTGGCATTGGAAGTAGTGATCACGAAGTTGTCCATCGGATGGATCAGTGAACGGTCTTCGTTGGACTCAACCAAACAATTGATGTGTTCATCGCATGTCTTAATGTATTGAGCGATGAAATCGTTATACGTTTGCCGATCTTTGCATTCAATCACAACAACAATTAGTACTGTTTTAATGGCTCACAAATTATGAGACAATTTATACCGAATTTATCACTCATTTCTGGAGGGAATTGCATGTAATCGTGACATTGGAATTGAGTCCGACTTAAGACAATGCCGTAGACTTCGATCAGACATGAGTTAGTGAGTGGTGTCATCAGCTGTCAGACCAAAAGACATACAAATGAGACAATTGGTGGCAAACATGGCATCAAATGACTGACCGGTTGTGTGAACACAATCTGAACGAACTGCTCGTCCGTTGTCTTAATGGTCGCTCTTTTGCCGTCATTTTCCACCTATAAGTCAATACAATATGAATCAAGACATGAGTCACTCAATTGATCCCAACCTTAATGACATCGCCGACAAGAGTGGCCGCCTTTTGCACGTAGTTCTGCATCAAAGCACCGGTGATTCGCGTTTTGGCGGAACTGCTGTAAGTGTCCATAACTGACGACAATTGTCTTCAGGCCTTAAACTATACAACGATTTACTAATCAATGAATTGAATCACAATTTCAGCCAAACTTCGAAACCAAACGTTTTGTTTTGCAATAAATGCGCCAAACATTGAATCACACATTAATTACGTCTATTGTATTGAAAGCTATTATTTTGTCATTTATTTAATGATATTTTTATTTAATATGATATGAATTGCAATTTATTTAGCAATAAATTATACGTAAAACTAGTTTTGTTAATTGTTTTAATAATAAATAATTAACAGTTTTAAACAATTAATATAACGTTTATAACAAATAGCCGTAATTTATATCATAATGTGAAATGTAGCCAATTATGTGACCACTAATGCCATCT